TAAAAAATGCTGATGAAACAAGTCAAAGAAGATCTAAATAAATGGTGAGACATGCCATGTTCATGGACTGGAAGACTCGATGTAGCAAATATGTCAATTCTCCCCAAATTGATATACTGGTTAAATACAATTCCTATCAAAATCCTAACAAGATTTTTTTTAGATATAAAGATATATTTATAGATATATATTTTTAGATATAAAGATATATTTTTATATATAAAGATAATTCTAAAATTTATATGAAAAGGCAAAGGAACTGGAATAACAAAAAATTGGGAGAAAAATATAAGGTGGAAAGAGTCAGTCTACCTGATTTCAACACTTATTATAAAGTTACAGCAGTCAAGACTATGTGGTACAGGTTGAGTATCTTTTATCCGAAATGCCTGAGACCAGAGGGTTTTGGATTTTGGATTTTTTCCAAATTTTAAAATTATTTGCATATACACAATGAGATATTTTGGGCATGGGACTCAAGCCTAAACAAAAAATTCATTTATGTTTCATATACACCTTATACACATAGTCTAAAGGTAATTTTATACATTTTAATAATCTTGTGTATGAAACAAAGTTTGTGTAAACTGAACCATCAGAAAGCAAAAGTCACTATTTTAGCCACCTATGTGGACAATCTGTGATTGTTTGGCATTGCAATTGTTCCTGGCTCTGAATTTGTATGCTACCAATAAGCAATAATTTTCCTACAATGATTCACACATAAGTACTTAATAGTAAAAAATGATATACCATTAATACAATGAAAAACTAATATATTCAGGGTAACTACGCAGCACAGTAGCATCACTGGAATACCTGTATCAGCTATCAAACAACAGCAACAGCCAACAACAGTGCTCTTTCAGTCTCCACCTACAATGCTGTGTTTTGATTAAAAGGTTACTGTACACTGTATTTTATTTTTTTTAGGTGAGAAGAAGCATCAGAAGCACTTGAGGGACCAGGAAGTGAGTCTTCTAGGGATGAGGAGGCATTCTGCTGGCTGTTTTTTTTAAATGTTCCTTCCTGGGTCATCTGCCTCATTAACAATGATTTTTGCCTTAGCAGTCTCTCCTTGATTTTATAAACTGACATGATTTCTTGTTCTGTTATGAATGCATGTTGCTCTAGTCCTTCAATAAGTCCATCACACATTTTCACCATGTCACCTATAGGCAATTTTTCTGTAGTGTTAACGTCATCTTCAGCATCATAATTACCTTGATTCAGAACCATTTTACCATTAGTCAATGAATGAACAACTGGAGCCTCATTATTTATGTTAAAAACATCTTTGATATCCACTTCTTCCACCTTATTGACAGACTCTAAATGTATATTTTTTGTACATGTTAGGAGATCAGACATTTTTTTCTCATTTGACATACAGAATCTTTCAAAGTTACCACCTTGTTCATCATCATCCCTGAACTCATTAATAAATTTCTCTGTGGCTTTACAATCAGTGGAAGCTTTATTACCACAAATCTTTAAAAATTTAATACCATGTCTTTTCTTAAATTTCTGCAACCATCCTGTTGAATATTCACAGTTCCCTTCAATTTTCAGTTCATTGTGATAGATCTTTGCTTGTTTCATTATCAGCATACCATTAAGTGGTAAGTGTTCACTACGACGCTGACGGATCCACTCCTTTAATACACGATCGAGACCTTCATTTTTAGCTTTATGCAGTGTTTTTCTATTTTTCATTAACCTTTGTTCATCACTTTCAGCATAGAACTTCAACAGTTTAACCTTCTGTTTCTTCAGGTCATATATGGTGGTCATTCCAACACCATACTCTTCTGCAAGACGTTTCACACTTACACCACTATCCAGTTTCTCTAACAGCTTGACTTTCTGTGCTATAGATAAACATAAATGCTTCCTCTTTTTCTTATTACTGTTATCCACAGGGATATCTGCAGGCCTTTTTGACATTTTCAACAATATCTTTACATCTCGCAACAGAGAATAATCAAAAAAACACAGTGAGTTAATGTATGTAGGCCTTGGCCCTATAGGGCATTGTGAAGAACCTGCCATTAGCACATACAGCTTGCACATGTGCCATTTTATTAACCTCTGTGGGTGTGCTTGTACGGAGGAACCTGGCTGTGTGCACAAAACATGTATCGCAGCTGACGGGGAATGGGAGGGTCTTTTTTCCCTTGGGGTTGCTGGGTAAACTTTGTGTTGTACACCTACATTTTGACTGCAATCCGTCACAAGAGGTCAGGTGTGAAATTGTCCACTTTTGGAATGCTGTTGCTCCAAAAGTTTAGGATTTTGGAGTAGCATTTCAGATTTTTGGATTAGGATGGTCAACCTGTATTGGTAGAGGGATAAACACATAGATCAGTGCAACAGAATAGAGAACCCTGAAATAAGATCACATAAATTCGCACAACTGGTTTTGACAAAGGTGTAAAAACAATGGAGGAAATGGACGAAACATAGCCTTTTGAACAAAATGGTGCTGCAGCAATGGCAGACGCATAGGCCAAAAAAAAAAAAAAAGACTAGAAGAACAACAACTATAGCCAAAGTTTCACACCTAATCCAAAAATTAACTCAAAATGTGCTATGGACTTAAACGTAAAATAGAAAATCCTTTAGAAAACACAGGAGAAAATCTTCAGGATCTAGCAGTAGGCAGAGAGTTCTTAGACCAAAAGCACAGTCCATAAAAGGAAAAGTGGATAAACTGGACTTTATCACAATTATAAACTTTTGCTCTGCAAAAGATCCTATTGAGAGGATGAAAACACAAGCCACAAACTAGGGAAAAGCTATTTATAACCACATAGCTGACAAAGGACAAGTATCTAGACTATATAAAGAACTCTCAAAACTCAACAGTTAAAAAAATTAGAAGGTGGGCCAAAGACATGAACAGACATTTCAGAGAATGTACAGATAAAAAATAAGCACAGGAAAAGATATTCAACATCTTTAGTCATTAGGGAAGTACACATTAAAATCACAAGCTACCACCACACATCTATCAGAATGGCTAAAATAAAAAATAGTGACAATACCAAATGCTGGTGAGGATGCAGAGAAATTGGATCACTCATATATTGCTGGTAAGTATGTAAAATGGTACAGCCACCCCAGAGAGTATTTTGGAAGTTTCTTAAAAACTAAACATCCAAGTACCCTATGACCCAGCAATTGCACTTCTGGGCATTTAATCCAGAGAAATGAAAACTTACATTTGCACAAAAACCTGTACACAAATGTCTATAGCTGCTTTATTTGGAATATCTGGAAACAAATAAAATCAAGAATTCTTTTTTTTTTTTTTTTTTTCCTGAGACAGAGTCTTGCTCTGTTGCCCTGGGTAGAGTCCTCAAATCCCTAGGCTCAAGCTATCGTCCCACCCTAAGCCTTCTGAGTAGCTGGGACTATGGGTCCTAGCACTCTAGGAGGCCGACGTGGGAGGATCACTTGAGCTCAGGAGCTTGAGACCAACCTGAGCAAGAGCAAGACCCTGTCTCTGCTAAAAATAGAAAAATTAGCCAGGTGTCCTGGCACACGCCTGTAGTCCCAGCTACTTGGGAGGGTGAGGCAGGAGGATCGCTTGAGCCCAGGAGTTTGAGGTTGTAGTGAGCTATGATGACGCCACCATACCTTGGGCGAAAGAGTAAGATTCTGTCTCAAAAAAAAAAAAAACAAAAAAAAGAAGTATCTTTCAGACACCTATAGGAACAATGAATTACTTTCCTGTGTGTGCAAGCAAATACTTTATCAGTCAGAATCCACACATATATTTTTTTTCACCTTTCACAAAACTGTTAGCATACCATTTATGCTATTTTTCACCTTGCTTTCTTCTAAAGCATTTTATTTCTTTAAAATTAACGACAGTAAAATACTAAAATTTGACAAAGCTGGATGGTGGGTAAAGGGCAATTTTTCACAATATTCTCTATACTTTTCTACTTTCTTCCTTTTGTTCTTGTTTTCAGCTGAACAATCCTTGGCTACAGAATGGAAGATAGATTCAGAGGCTAGACTGAGGGTACAAAAAAATGGGTTCTGTATGCTATTTAGGAATACAGGGACAGGACAGCCTTGTGAATCCTCTTCACCTAGCAATGAGACTAACACATAGTTGGTCAGTAGAAGTTTACTGAATGAATTCAGACTTGTTTAAATGACATTCCAACCTCAATACAGTGGATACTGTGGTCCAGATCCCTCCTCAGGACCTAGCTGGTCATTCCCCCAGGTTCTGAGAGTTAGTTGCTGATGACTCACAACTGAGACCCTCTCTGGGAGCTGCCTTCCACTGAAGGAAGCAGCCTCAACAACAACAACAACAAAAAAAATCATAGTGCCTCCCCAGGTGTAGTCTGTATCCATCCATAACTGCAAGGATATAAATTTTTGGCCTTCTTGCTTTAATTTGGAAGAACTCTGAAGGGGTCATCCTAGCCTCAGAGTATTCCTTGGGACTGGCTAAAGCCTCTGCTGCAACTGTTTCACAGTTCAACTTCTCCCCCTGCCTACCTAATCCTGCTTCCATCACTCTCGGACAGGTGCTGGTCTTGAAGCACTCCCCATGCTCACCAATAAACCTCCTGTGTGCACGCTAATCGCCTTCTTGAGTCCTCCAGGAGCTCAACACAGGACACACCACATTACCCTGTTTTTCCTCTTCATAGCACTTATCACTACATGAAATAACCTTATTTACTTAACACTTTAATACTTATCATCTGCTGTAAGAATGTAAGCTTACCAGGACAGATCTTTTTTCTCATACGTTGTGCATCCTGTATCAAGCGCCTGGGGCAGGGCCTGGAGAACACACCAAGCACTAAATATTGGTCGTTGAAATGAATGGATGCACTAGGCCGACCCTGCGCTGGGTCGGGGATCACATATCCTCCAAGGAGCATTCAGGAGCCGCGGGTTAGGTCCTGCCCTCGAGTCCCCGCCCCTCTCGGCACGCCCCCGGGTCCACGCAGCGGGCGGGCGGGCCCCGCCGACGCCGCAGCGGGTGCGATGCCGCAACCCGCGGTACGGCTGGTGTGGCTGGGTCGGGTGCGGTACGCCGAGCTGCTGGCGCTGCAGGACCGCTGGCTGCGGGAGCTGCAAGCCGAGCCAGGCACCGAGGCCCTGTCGGGGACTGATGCGGGCGCGCTCCTGCTCTGCGAGCCCGCGGGGCCCGTGTACACGGCCGGGCTGCGCGGCGGCCTGACGCCCGAGGAAACTGCGCGACTGCGGGCCTTGGGCGCCGAGGTGCGCGCCACAGGCCGCGGCGGCCTGGCCACCTTCCACGGCCCAGGCCAGCTACTCTGCCACTCGGTGCTCGACCTGCGGCGCCTCGGCCTGCGCCTGCGCACGCACGTGGCGGCGCTGGAGGCGTGCGCCGTGCGCCTGTGTGAGCTCCAGGGGCTGCCGGGTGCCCGCGCGCGTCCCCCGCCCTACACCGGCGTCTGGCTGGAAGAGCGCAAGATCTGCGCGATCGGTAAGCGCCGCAGGACTGGGGCGGGGCCTGGTGGGGCTGGACCAATGGAGGTGTGGGGAGAGCCCGGGCCAGAGAAGGGGTGTGTTGAGAGGTCCTCACCCGTCCTCTAGTCCAGCACGCTTTGTGATGGATGGAGAGACACGAGTAAATGAATTTCCAGGTTACGTCCTATGAATCACAATATAATGACAATAAGGGTGCTAACTAATTTTCAAGCTTTTTTTTTTTTAAGCAACAGAATCTGTTTAAGGACATTCCCTGAAATTCCCGTAAGTGCAGCTGCTGTGGAGCCACACATCCCTACCCCGCATCTGTTCCCCATTCCCATCAGTGCACAATCCCTGTTGCTCCAGAAACAAAATTTGAAAACCAGTGATCTAGTCCAGTTCTCTCATCGCACCGGGAGGGATCCTGAGAAGGGAGGGTATCTATTCTATGACCCTTTGTCTCGCCTTGCAGGAGTCCGCTGTGGAAGGCACATCACATCCCATGGCCTGGCTCTGAATTGCTCTACAGACCTCACGTGGTTTGAACACATTGTGCCCTGCGGGCTGGTGGGGACAGGTGTCACTTCCCTGAGTAAGGAGCTCCAGAGGCACGTCACTGTGGAAGAAGTAGTGCCACCTTTCCTTGTGGCCTTTAAAGAGACCTACAAGTGCACATTGATCTCCGAGGACAACTGCAACTGAAGAGCATTCATGTTATCACAGCCAGAATAGTCCTGCCTTGGGAAGCCCCAAATCTGACTCGAGTCACCTTCCAAAATCCAGACTCTAGACCTGGCCTGTCATTCACTGACCATGAGACTAAGGGCAAATCATAAGCTCTGAGCCATTGTTTCCATATGTATCCTGGTCTGTTTATATCTTCCCACCTACCTCAGAGATACTAGCTGTGAAAACACTATGAAAAGCAACACATGTGATATAAAACGTTAGCACCACTGCTGCCATCAGTTTCTCAGCGTAGAGAAACTCAGATGTCATAGATTGTCATTTCTCAATTATTGTTATTTCTTCTGTACTGTATATAGCTGGGCAATTCTGGGCTCTTTTTCCTTTTGTGGAAATCAAATCTCTGGATGACCCAGGTAAAGGTGATGTGATGTGCTTTTGCAAGAGACCTGGATACTTTAGGCAATAAAAGGAAAAGCCTCTTAAAGAACAAAATGTCTTCCTGGGTTGGATTTCCCAAGTTTGATAATTTAGCTAGTTTTAGTTGGGGTAACCTGAGCTAGGCCAGAGGCTGGGAAAGACAAGAATAATTTCTCACACTGTACATATGCCAAAGATATTAATAGTTTTTCTTTTATGAGACCTCTAATTTTATAAGGCTTTGTATTAGCTACCTATTACTGTGTAAAAAATCACCAAAACTTAGTGACTTAAAACAACAGACATTTATTATCTCATATATTTTTTGTGGGTCAGGAATTTGAGAGAAGCTTAGCTGAGTGTTTCTAGGTTGAGGTCTCCATGAACTTATAGTCAAGATGTCAGCTGGGGCTGCAGTCATCTAAAGGCTTGACTGGGGCTGGCGGATGAGCTTCCCAGATGGTTGTTGACAGGAGCTCTCAGTTCACCATGTGGACCTCTCCATAGGGTGCTTAAATATTCTCATGACAGGGCACTTGCTCTGGCTTCTCCCAGAGCAAGTGATGTCAGAGAGAGACAAGATGGGAGCCTCAATGTCTTTCATGACCCAACCTTGGAAGTCACACAGTCATTTCTGCAGTCCTCTAACAGATGAGCCCTATTCAGTGTGGAAGGGACTTCACAAGAGCAACAAGAAGTGAGGATCTTTAGGCAGCATCTTGGAAACTGGCTGCCACAGCCTGTTACGAGTGCAAAGAACCTGGAATGAGAAGTCAGGGGACCCTGATTCCAGTCCCGATTCTGAAGGGCCAGTGGGGCAGGCATCCTGTAGGAGAGACGTCTCCAAGAACAGGTGGGCAGTGGGCAGTCAGAGCTGGGGAGGGTGAAGAACAGGAGGCCAGTGTTCAGCTGAGCTCTGGCTGTACAATCAGATCAGGACACTGCTGTGGGTTCCTGACTCTCCTTCCTGCTTGGACAGATCCCACCTCCGCTTTCCCACTGGGGGCCCTTCCTCAAGGAAGGAAGCTGAGCGTATGAAGGAGGATATTTAACACCCTGGCTTTCCCCCTTTGAGAAAGCCTCTTCTTGTTTGTGCAGAGTCTTTTCCTCATAGATAAACAGATTGTCTAGCATCGGGTGAACCAGTGCTCAGGGTGAGGACGTGACCAACTGCAGTTACTGGTCCAGCATCTTGTTCCTCTGGTGAGGCTGGCAGGAAACTCGACAGAACCCAGCTCTGGCAGCGTTACCAGGTGTGCCTTGTTGTGTAAAAAGGCTCTTTCTGAAAACTCCCATGGACATCACATGTTTGCAATCCAAATCTGATATTTTTAACCAAATTGTCATTTACTGTACATATTATCACACCATGCCATATTATATCTATAAAGTAAAAAAAAAAAACACTTGCACTCTCACGTAACACATCCTTTTCATTTGTGTGTGTTTTTAGTACGGATCGTGAGCAGACATTTTATTTTTAATGTACTTTTAATTATGTAGATAAAATTTTGTATGCTCTTTTAAAGCAAACATAATACTACAAACATTTCCCCACATTGCTACATAGTCTTTATAATTATATTTTTGAATGCCTTAACTTTGTTTTTATTTTTTAAAAAACTTTGATCATTTTTTTATTATTGGTAATGCATGCAAGGGAAGAAAATTTAAAAGGTACAGAATGGTGGCATTGAAATGTAAGTCTTGCTCTGACTTTTCTCCCTAGTAAAACCCAGTTTCTTTCGCTGGAGGCCTACGTGATGATAAGTGTCTTATTTATATACTTTAGAGATATACATATATAAGCATATATGACAATATGTATTCTTCTTCATATAGCAGCATACCATATGCACAGTCCTACACTTGTGCAATTGTTTCAGATCAGTATATAAAAAGCATCATCATTCTTATTAGTAACTATGTAGTATTCCATTGAACTTATTTAGCTAGCCTCTACTGAGGACATTTAGATTATTACTAATCTTATGCTTTTATAAACCAAGATACAATAAGAATCCATATATAAATTGTGTGTGTGTGTTATTTCACACATGGTGAGTACAAAGTTTGCATTTCTAAAAATGATTTTCTGAGTCATAGGATATATGCATTTTATTTTAATATTTTCATATTGCCATCCATAAAAGTTATACCAATGTATACTCCCATCAGCAATGTACAAGGGTAATGCCTGAATTTTAAATGCTCCAACATCTTTGTCTTAGTCTGTGTTGCTATAAAGGAATACCTGAGGCTGGGCAATTCATAAAGAAAAGAGGTTTTATGTGACTCACAGTTCTTCAGGCCATACAAGAAGCATGGCACCAGCATCTGCTCTGCTTCTGGTGACGGCCTCAGGAAGCTTCCGCTCATGGCAGAAAGTGAAGAGGAGCCAGTGTGTGCAGATCTCATGGTGAGAGAGGAAGCGAGAGAGAGGGGAAAGGTGCCAGGCTCTTTTTAACAACCAGATCTCATAACTAAAGAGTGGGAACTCTCTTATTCCCTGGAGGATGGCACCAAGCCATTCATGAGGGATCTGCCCCCACAATCCAAACACCTCCAACAGTGGGGATCAAATTTCAACATGAGACTTGGCAGGGCCAAACAAACCATATCCAAACCATAGCAATCTTAGAATGTTATTTTTAAAGCTTTTTATTATAAAATATTTTAAACATATAACAATGAACCTCCATGTACCTATCATACAGCTAAAGCAATCATCAACTCATGGCCAATCCTAGTTTATCTAAACTGGTACCACCTTCCTGCCTCCCCTGGATTATTGTGAAGCAAATCACAGATACCATATTATTTCAATCAAAAATATTTCAGTATGTATTTCCCAAAGATAAAGACTCTTTTAGAACTCTCTTTAACCACAATATCATCATCACACATAGAAATACTTCTTCAATAGCAACAAATATTAGGTTAATTTTGAAAAAATCTAAATACCACATGAGCTGAAAGCAAGGTAGGGAGGGGCGACTCCCAAAAGGAGAGAAAGTTTCTGTCCCCAAAAGAACAGATTCTGGGCAGGCCAAGACATCAGGTGTCTACTACAGCCTCAGAGACAAGTAGGAAATTTGGGGATAGACAAGAAGGCAAGGTGTATTTCAGGTAGAGGAGAAGCACACAAGTCTCCGATAGGAAGCTGTTCGGGAGCAGGGGCCTGTCTTGCTCCAGACAACAGCGGCTGCTTTAGGTGGCCTATGCATATTCCCCTGGCCTTGCCATTTCAGTGCCATAGGTCTCCTGGCTGCCAGCATCTGTACTTTTTGTCTGAGGACTTTTGGAAGGGCAGGGGCTGTCAACCCGTGTGTCAGGCTGGATGTGCTGGAGAATTAATGTCCCCTGGGAGTATCCCTCGACTAATGACTGACTCTGCTAGTCCCCTTGCCTCTACTGAGGGATAACTCTGCATGTGTGTTCTACACAGGCCTCCAGAGTTCCCTAGCAGGGCTAAGCTTGCTAACAGTACTCCTCATCACAGGCTCCCTTCTCCCCTGTCTCACTTCCCCACTCCCCGAGTGGTATTTCCTGGGATCACCTCACACATGAACCACTTGTGCTCAGTTCCTTGTCTCAGGGCCTGCTTCTGGGGGAATCCAAATTAGCCTCAAATACATTCTTCTAAAAGTAAAACTTCAGTCAGTATCGTTTTTTGGTTTTTTGTTTTGTTTTGCTGTCACATTATCCTATAGACTGATGTGGGTTTACAAATATCTAAAACCTCTGAGGCATGGCCCCGCCTTCCAGGAGCTCCTGATCTGAGGGGGAAGCCAATTATAAGCACTTCTCAGCTCTCAAAATGCTGTCTCAGCCATCACTTCACTTGCTCCTTGGAGCCCTGTGAGGTTTGCAAGGCCAAGATTCCTGTTTTGCAAGTGAGGAACCAGAGGCTCAAAGCGGTGCAGTGACTTGGCCCAGGTCCCATTTCCTGTGATATCCTCTGCTGACCACTCCCTCTGCTTGTGCCTGTCTCAGCCCCATCCAGGTGTTCTCTTATCACTAGGAAGAATTAGGGGATCCCGCATTTCTCTGTGGGTTCAGCCAGAGCTCTGGTAAAAACACCCACATCTGTTGCTTGTTTTCCAAATGTTTGATGACCTTGGAGGTGGAAGATTGGAAGCACCATAAAACAAACTGTGCTCTGACACCCCCAGGCTGCTACATCACTCCCTCTTGGACTGAGGGCTCCCCCAGGAGGGCAACGTTTTCCCAACAATTTGGAGGCTCATGAAGTCAGGGCCAGTCTTCCCGCGTGAGACTCTACTCTCCCCAAGAACAGCGGCTTATACCCGGGTGATACATGTAAAAAGTGGGAAAGTAGAGGGATGGGGCTGGTCGGGGACACAGAGGAGGGCATCTAATTTAGTGCAGGGGATATTTCCAGGAGGAGGTAGCATCTAAGGATGAGTTAGCCAGCCCTGGGAGGAAGGGTGTCCCGAGCAGGGAGAATGGCACAGGCAAAGGCCTGGAGGTGTTAGAGAGCATGTGGGCATTTGAGGAACTGAAGCCTGTCTTCCTCCTACCCCTCTCTGGGGTGAACAATCCCAGCTCACAGCCTCCTCCCACATTCCTTAGTTCTCCTACTCCTCCCTGCCACCCACTGCCCAGGGCAGGCTAAAAAGGAATGGGGGGACCCCACCCACTGCCTGTGCCCAACCCTTCCACTTGCCCCCTCCATGTACTCGCCACCCCTCTCCACCCACCACAGACCTCACACTCCATGAGTTGAGGCAACAGGAGGAAGTGGTAGAAGATCACAGGACGGGAGGGGAGGGAGAAGATGGTATCGTTCCCCTGGCTTTCTCCCTGCAGCTCAGCATGGGTTGGTTGCAGCTTCTACCAAAGGCCACAGCTCCAACCCATCTGCCCTCCCCACCACTTCCCTCTCCAAGTTCCAGAAAGCCCTTTCTCCTCTAGCCCTCTCAGTGCAGGTGCTTTCCCTCTGCACTGTTGCTAGCCAGGCATACTGCACTATTCCCTCTTAATTTCTTCAACCCTCATCACACTCTCATTAAATTATCCAGT